CTTGGCAGCCCTAACACACTGCAAAGACGACTTCAGGGAGTGCACAATAGTAGTTTTATAGTCCATATAATATTCAGGTTAGGAACTGTAATCTTTACCTTTCCTCGAATTTAGCGCAGGTCCATTTGTACAAGGGGAGGTGAGGCGTTCCTATCCTCATGCTCTGCCGTGGGGAAGGGTAGATAAGGAATCTTCGCCCAGTAAACCAGTAGGGCGTTTTAGTCAAAACTGAAGTTTCATATGACAAGACAATGGTCGACTACCTTGAAGTAGTTGTTTGGAAAACTTCACAAGAGATTATAACCTGGCCGAAATTTGAGCCCTTTGAGGAGTCAAACTGGCGACTCCTTATGAGTGGTGGTTACGTGAGCATTTTGTCGTACTTTACAAATCTTGCCTTTCGAAAGGATGGGTTTTTGAACGTGTCTTGTTGTACGAATTCATTTGCTTGCTTCAATCCTTAACCCTCCCACTGGATGAATCTACACTTCGCCTTACGTGTAATTCTACTCCCGTTAAGGTCAGTTTTGGATCTTTCAGTTAGCGCAAATTCCTTCACTCGTAGCATCTTATGAAGATCAACAAATCCCCCGAATGTCGATGAGGTGTAAATTGGCTGCCTGCCAACGCAGTTTTTTTGCTTTTGATGTTTTTTTCAGTACAAAACTCCTATCTTTCTCCCAACACAGGTTAAAATCAAGGAGAACTTATCCGGCCTACTGGGTTTAGTTGGTGACGCAGTGAATGCGACGAGTTCGACTCATCGTCAAGGCTTCCTGGACGCGCTTGCCTATGCATTCCGCGGCGTTATTGTTGACCTCTACGAGACGGATGAGCTCGGTGAGGACTCCATGCTTCCTCCCTCCCTCTTTACTCTATGTCATATGTTGTCCGAAAGATCGGACGATGAGAGTTAAATACAGCACGTGGTGGGCCTCTTTCACCAAAAGCCTCATTTCAGTTTGATTGCATATTGAAAAGAGGCGATAAAACGCAGCTCATAAGTAACAGCCTTGTCGAACGCCATACCGAATAGCGAGGGGTTCTGAAAGGTTGTTGTGGACTAGAATCCCTGCAGTGGTGGAGCGGTAGTTTGCCTGGATCGTGGCGATTAGTTTTGGTGGTACACCATCAAATGCCATTATCCGCCATAGGGAGTCACGATGGACGGATTCGAACGCAGCGGCAAAGTCAACAAGGCGGACGACCGTTGGTTGTTGGTGGTTATGGCGCAATGCCCACTACCGCAAGTTCATGCAACTTCCCAGACAGTGCCCTCCGTCCAGATAGTCGCAGCTGCCCAAGCACCTTCATCGTGAAAGTGATCTCCAGACCGGGCTGTATCTCGTTAACGCAGCAGCAGCTCCCAATACTGACCCACCATCATTGTAGAATGTTGTGAAAAATGCTTGTGAGAACGATACCAGCGACAAGTACCGCTACTACCTTCCTGTCATAGTAACACTTGCACTTGTAAACTGTGCCTTTCCTACTAGACCTCGTATCGAACCTTGACTGCATAAAAAATAGTTAATCATTGTTAGATTTCGTACCATACGAATAAGCTTAAATTCCCCTTAAGTTTTCTGCGGCTTCGTGGAGTATGCAAATAGCGAGCAAATGAGTGGGCATACTTCCAGATGTGTCGTTTTCGGTGTAGACAGCCAAACATCGGCTGAACCATTTAGCTTAGGAAAGTTAATCTGGTAAACTTACTATAGAAGTTATTGTTATAACGACGTGTTCACAGCGTCGTTAATGTTACTACGATGACATCTGACGTGTGACACCGTTGAATTACGCCCTGCTGAAATCCCCGAGGAAGAACACAATTGGAAGGGCGTAACTTTTGGATCCACCGAGAGGCGGGTTTTATTGTGTACAAAACCCGGAGGAACTGTCTCGGGTGGCTGTTGCCTCGCTGTCCTCACTATCCGGTGGGGCTGCAACTCTTTTTCTCCTGCCTCGGGACGAGCCCGACATTGGGAGCGGACTGGCGTCGTCACGCGTCCGCTGTTACAACCCTCTGTGTCAGGGGTGGCAGTGGCTTATAAGAGATTGTCTGCGCGTTCTCTT